GGTGGAGGCTGGCAGGCTGGCAGGCTGGCAAATCCCAAGTCTGTGGATAGTTCTAGAGGAATTTCCCAAATCACATGGTTGCAGGGGCTGGCAAACCCAGATTGGCAGGTCAGATGGCCAGCTCCTGTCTCAAGTCATGGGGTGAAATGATGACAAACCAAACATAGGACTGGAGCAAGAGAAAGAACTTTCCCAGAACGTTCACATATATACTTTCAAGGAAATTAAGGGTGGTGACTTGAGTCACATCCTCCAGCAAGGCAGGACTCAAGATACATCCCATTCTAAACAGGCTTAGACGCTAGGATTTACAATACATCACAAAATGGAGGACAATGACTAGAAAGGCCTTATTAAGCTATTCACTGCACTTCAAAGAGACAGAGAAAGTGCGTGCCCAGAAGAGGGGGAAGGTTTCTCTGACAAAGAGAGGAAACTGAGAAAAAAAGAAAGAGAACGATCCAATCCCCAGTCCGTACCAAAGAATATTTTGGCTTAAGGTTTCTGCTTATGCGACCACACTAATGGGAGATGTAGAGGCAGACCGTCACTCCCAACAACAGAAAAGTTGTTGTTGTTGTTGTTAAGTGCCGTCGAGCCGTTTCCTTAAACGTAGTTGCCTTAGGCACTATGCTACCAGAGTTTCTGTAAAGAAAAGTTAGGTAGAAGTTAAAACATAACTATCTGAGAAAACACAAATTTGAGAAGATCTGAAATAAGAGTTAAGGAAACAGCTGAAGAAGTATTTGGCAAGCATGCCAAAATTGGGAAGGAGGGAGCTCTGGTGGTATAGAATGGGAGGAATTGCAAGGTAGCATGCTGCCTCTTAGTATAAGCTGGTGAACAGGTAAGTGTTCCAAATCCAAGCCTCTGGTTCACCCAGCTCATCTCCACACTATTCCAACACAGGTCCTCTAGCCACTATATCCCTGGACATGGACAACCTCAGCTGAAGGCTTAAGACATGACATTTAATTTCTGGAGCCTCTAAGCTGCATTCACAAGAGAGAGTGAAGGGATAATGAAGTCCTCTTAATCATTCACCTTGCATAGGCTGGTGAGGGGTTGGCCAAAGACCTGACTTTGGTGGACTTATCCATTTCCTCAGAATTCCAGAGATGGATGTGTTCCTGGCAAACTGTTTAGCCCTTGCCCATCCCAGCAGCTCTGTGTGAAGCTTGAGAACTATGCTGGAGGAGAAATGTTGCCTATCCCACTCCTAATGTAGACTTTGGGCTCCCTACTGTAGTGCTGCCTTCCTGACTGGGTATCCCCATGCTTGGGCTAATGGGGTCTCTTTTGAGTGCTGAGAAAAAGATGCTAAGATAGCTGATAATAACTAGGATGGAATTAATCTGTTGGTTTCTTACCAAAGCTGTCTGTTGCTTGTCTTACTGTTAGAACCTAGACCTATCTGGGTGTCCACTTTCCCTTGGGAAGGTCTGGGTAGGGGAATCTTGGCTAGCCTAAACCATTCATTTTCCTGGTCAATGAGGGTGCCTCTGTGGTGCCTGGCATCTTGGCAGTCATTTCAGGATCATGAGGAATGTTAGCCTGAAGAAAACATGCTGAGATGACAAAGCAGAAAGAGGGAAGGTCTCTGGGTCCCTTAGAGTATCATTGAATTATGGAAATAACCAATTCTGCCCAGTCTTATTTAGGGCCTCTTATTGGGTGGGGTGGGTGCTCTGGTAGCGTA